GTGTTAGTGTTTGATTGTGTGAAAGTTGCGCATTAATCTGACTTCTTAACCGAATGATTGTGCACCTAGTGGGGGTGCTGATTCGGTTTCTCATGTGCCTCGAGCAAACGATTGAGTTTCGTTTATGCTTGCCTACAAAGTAAATGAAAGTGAAATAGAAACTAAAACGAGGAACAAAATGTAATTATTTCATGACAGAGTTTTACAATTGTTTACAAAAGTAAAGTCTAGGCTGATGGGCCGAGATACATGACTTGAAATGTAAATTGACCGGAAACGTAAGGAAAGCAATAAAAACTCTAACAAGATTTAGGCCATGAAGGGTATGATAATGCTAGAGGAGTCCACCGAGATCATTGGTGTAGGATTGGACTTAGTACAAAACATGCACCTAGGAGGGGAAATCAGGGTGGTTGGAATTGCACACCAATTGAATCATACCCTAGGGTGGTAGAGTTGTAAAAGTTTTAGATCTCAGGGATCGTAGGCAGTGTTTGCTTTGAATGAAGACTTTGAGATTGTAGCTAATGCTATAAGAGAGTGCGGGAAGAGTTAGTATGGGAATGCGGATAAAGAGAAATAGATTGAAGCAGCATGGCTTGATAGAGAGACTGCCCCTGAGGCTTAGCTTAAACCTTTTGTGTCTGTATAAGAAAGTTGTTTGGAAAAACAATTGGGTTTGTGCTGAAAAGCAATTAGGTTGATTACAGAATCACTCAAGATTTTTGTTTAATTGTAGAGATTGAATTTGACGAAAGTCTTAAGCTTGAAGGCATGTGGCTCTATTTATATGCATGGGAGAATGATCAACCTCGATTATATCGCTGGGCTACAGGAAGGGTAGATTGGTAATTTTCCACTGATAGTGATTGTAATTCCTAGTAGGTGACCTTCAACTATATCTTGAGGCGATTTGCACGATCACAGCAGTGACCTCAGCGTGGCAGATGACACATGCCTATGCATTTAAAGGGCTGAGATATTCCCGGGCTCTGGTCGTCTGTGTGGCAAACGCACTTCCAAGGGACTTCTGTCTGATGCCTCGGACAAGCTGAAGTGAAGTGAGATGTTTGTCTGAGCTTTGGTTTAGGCTTTGGAGTTGGTGGATTGAATTTGTGCAATTTTTACGTACATAAAAATGAATAGGCCTTATAGCAGACTTTATTTTTATTTATGGCCCAAACACCAATAAGAACATAATTAAAATAAAAGAGAGATTTACATTTGAGAATTTTATTGCACTTTTGATGTGGTAGCAGGTAGGTTTGCGATCATTATTCGAAAAATATTTTCGGTTGGAGGAGGAGGAGGAGAACTTGGTGGTGGAGACCAATTTGGGACACCTTTTTAAGATTAGGGAAGAAAAATATATCATTAGATGATAATAGCTAATTGAGGGCATTAAAGTGAACAAAAAATTATTTTATTAAATTAGAAAAAAAATCCTGATAACTGTGATGAATACGAGATTATACAAAAACATTTTAAGAACTCAATTGATGAAAAAAAAAACCTCTAATTGATTTTTAATTCTGATAAAAGCCTGTTCAATGGTTATTATATTATTTAACTTTTTTGTGTGTGTAATGTTATCAAGAATTTGAATAGTCCTAATTATATTGTGTTATAGGTGTGTAGGAGGAATATTACTGTAAGTAAACGCGTAAGGGATCGATAAAAATTGTTAGAGTGCATCTGAATCCTAAATTATTCATGAAAATCAAATCATCAAGGGTCTTTCTTTCCATCATTATACAGTGTTCCATCTCATGATCATCATCAGTTCAGTCGCCATATTGATACTGATGGGTTAAGCTGAGTGTAATCAGCATTGCTAGCTAGCTGGGTGACTGGCTTAATTGATTTATATATTTAAGACTCCTGATTAATGCTAATGTGTTTTTCTCACTCCAGCTGTTCCACATCTTCCTTATCCTCATATTTATGTTCTCGATTAAATCTTGGCCGCGTACCCCTTCTTACTTGTATCATAAATATCTCTTCGTTTTTATTATTTTCATACTATAAAGTATATTTTGACCGTATAAATCTGAGAAATGAAATCTGTTCATTTTTTAGTACTAACTAGTCATCATTCAAAATCACATTTACACATCACTAACATTATTATACAGTGATATTTTTCTTCACTTATAAGTGAAGGGTCTTGAGTTCAACTCATTTGGGAGCGAGTTCAGTACCAATTAGCCAAAGTTTCACGCCCCTAAGTATAAATAATTAACGTTGTATTAAAATAAGTTACATCTACAAAATATCAATCAAATTAGAGATTGTTTTATCGTACATAACCATAAATCAAATTAGACATCGTTGAGCTGTATATAACTATTACTAACACATTCTGTTCGTTAAGTATTCACTAAGTTGTTTGATACATATACAAGACTAATGATTGTCTATTTGATTAATATTTTTAGAAAATGATGAATTGAGAAGATAAACAATGCCGATTATATTAATAGAATTAAAATACATCAATGCCAATTAAATATGTGTGATACTTTGGCATTGTGCATTTCCCACGTACGCTCAATCCTCCTTTAAACAAAAGAAAAGAAAAATCAAAATCACCATCAAGACATAAATATCACGCAAATCGTCAAGAACATGCATTGCATATCCAAATAATAGATCCATGCCTTAGAAGAAATTTTTTTAATTAATTGCGGGTACATAATTCAGTACACTAAATGTTATATGCAATTGATTAAAAATTTAAATTTTTTAACAAATTGTAATTATACACTTAGTGTATCGAGTTGTGTGTCCAACATCCTAAAAAAATCTCTTGTGCCTTAGGGCCAAATATATACATCACCATTTTCGTTGGGCACATTCAACAAATTAGTGCCCATCGGACGGTCGTAATCTGATGCTCGTTACATGAATAATATTTCTTGTTTACGTGAAAACTTCAATCCGTGGGGACCTAAAATTTGGATGATGAGGTTGCTTTTATAGCGACCCAGCAGGTGGAGAAAAGAAAACCCTAGAGAAAGATCGGAGCTTGGCTGCCGAAAAATCAGCAGCAACTCCTGTTGCTAGCGAATCACGGATGCACACGTGTTTAAGTAATTTATTTTTTTAATCATAACTTGAACACGTGTTCACTTTTGATTCGCTAGTAACAGGAGTTGTCACTGATTTTTTCAACAGCCAAACTTTCTTCCCAGAGAAACAGATAAGAAGGTGGGTATGGGACCCACTGTTAACTTACGTGGCAAATTGGTAATATAAAGTAAGAATACCCCGACCGCGAGCATCTGATCTGATTACGACCAGACCATCCAGCCCACAACCGCGGCTGGCTAGGCCACCACCAAGGCACCAACCCCTAGTCTTTCTTGATTTGCTTATTTAATTTCATAGTATTTGTTTTATAAAATGTACAATACTTTTGTTATGTTTTTCTCTTATGTACAATGCTTTTGTTAGTGAGGATGAGAAATTCAAATTGGATTTTTTTTTTGTTGAAAAAGATGTTTATTCGAAGAAATGTCAAACATTTAGAAGGGAAAATATCATTCTATTATAAAAAACATTCCTCAAAACTCTTTCATTTTAGAGAAATTTATTATTGTTATTCTTGCAAAAGTCATCAGCTTCCTTCAACAAATAAGAGTTTGAATTTTTTTACAACACTCCTATTAAGTGGTAAGCATTACCATCTCTCTTAAATTGCGTCACGTGTTTGCGACTTAACTACCATTAACTAGTTTTAATTTTTTTTATATAAATAACTAAATAGTTTAATAACTAAATAATAATCATCAATGCTAGTTATTTATAACGTTAAAAATGACCAATGTTAAAAAGTTTCTTAAAGCAGAGAAAACGAAAAAAAAAAAAGTTAAGAGAAAACGCTGCTCCTTTAAAGATCGAAGAAGGTAAATTATTATATTACTAGTATTGGCGTTGCATGTGTTTGCAGCAAGCTTACCCCATTATTAAACTAAAACTAAACCCTTCAAATTAGTAATGTTAGATACACCATCTATTTAAGTCATATTTTGTAAATCATATGACGTGTTAATTTGTTGATGATTGAATTATTATTTAAATATTGATTAATGTGTTTATTTCATATTGATAACACATCACATAGTTTGCAAATTTGGTCTAAAAATTGAATTTACCTAACATTTCTCTCAAATTAATTAGACTGGTGAAGAATCAAATTAGCTAGCTATGGCCTATAGCTATAATAGTACTAATTTCTGATAGATAAGTTAATAGAGTTAATTATTCTAAAAGCTTCCACAAGTATTTATTTTTTTAATTTATTATTATTAAAAGAGGGAGAGGGTTCCAAATTATTACAATAATTTAAGAGAGAAGAGAGGGCATTTCGAACTAGAGACGCATGAGTAGAAACCCAACATCCTATCTTATACATCTTTTTACGTAATTATTTTGGTTATTTTTCCATCAATTTTACTTCAACCTTTGATGGATACGAAATATTGCATAATTCTACTAGCAATAATACTTAAATCTCTTTTCACACTTCTGGTAAGACACTGTTTCAGTGTACATAGGCATACGCTTGTAGCATACATTTTATCTTATTTTACATTGGACGAGCAATTGGTAATACAAATTCCAAAACACTAATTGATAATAACAATTATGCAATTAAAAAAGTTTATACAGGAGGATACATTGGTTCTGTCTCTTATATTAATCTACGTACGTAAAGATGCTCGAAAAAAAAATTTGAAAAAAAATTTAAATTATATAGTAGTAGTATACATTTCCATGCAAAAGTAAAAACTATGCAAGGAATACATAGGAGAAACAAAGGTACATTTGATGGTGACACTTCCAACCATGACACCCCCACAATTACTCCCCTTTTCATTTTTAAATCCATGTAAAATATTATTTAATTGCGTAACTCATATTATATTATTAAAGTTCTACTAATTAGGGCTTCTATCTCTTTCTCACTCTGCATGGCCATTGGTCACTGATGTTTTTGGGTTAAGCAGCGTCAAAAAGAAGCTTAAAGACTGAGAAAAATGGTTCCTCACCTTCAAACCCTAAAATTAATAAAACAAAAAGCAAAAGAGAGTAGTGGGGGAATCGATGGGAGGAGAGAAACAAAGAACAAAATAAATAAACACCCACCTCTTTATCTTTCCGTCTCCTTCTGATCTTTTCTCTCTTTCTCTCTGCAGCAGCAACTATCTCTTGTGGATGTGATTCTCCAACAAAATTACATCCTCTAAAAACCCACATCAAACTTTTACAAAGGAGAAAGCTAGCCATGGTTTTCTCATCCGTTCCCGTCTATCTGGATCCACCCAACTGGCAACAACAGGTAAGGGTTTAATTTCTGCAACCTTATATTTTGTTCTTTCCATAGCCAGCTTCTTCACCAAAAAAGTTGATTTTAAAGATAAAATATATTCCTACCCTTTTTCAATCTATGTCTCCTCTCTTGAATATACCAATTATTGATTTTAGTTTTTTGAACCTTTTTTCCTTTTTGATTTCATAGCAAACAAATCATCATCAACAAGGAGGTGGAAGTGATCAGAATAATCCTCAGCTTCCATTGGTGCCTTCTTCAGAAGCTAGATGCACTTCTGTAGATGGCGGCGGTGGTTTGGGCTCGATTAAACCTGGATCGATGTGTGATCGAGCCCGGATGGCCAAGCTGCCGCAGCCAGAGACAGCACTGAAATGCCCTCGATGTGAATCCACAAACACAAAGTTTTGCTACTTCAACAATTACAACCTTTCCCAGCCTCGCCACTTTTGCAAGACGTGCAGGCGCTACTGGACAAGAGGAGGAGCCTTGAGAAGCGTGCCGGTGGGAGGAGGCTGCCGGAGAAATAAAAGAAGCAAAGGTGGCAACAGCAGCAGGTCAAAATCACCAGGCGCAGCTGGTAATTCTAGCTCAAGTACGGTTAATTCTTCCAACAGCTGCAGCGCTAGTGATAATATCATAGGCCATTTGACACATCCACCACCACCACATCAATTGCCGTTTTTGCCCTCCTTACACCATCTTCCTGATTATGGTTCCGGGGACATGCTAGGGCTAAATAATTTTGGGATTAATCAACCTGGTGATGTTGAATTCCAACACCATCAGTACGGTTCGGACCGGTTCGGTGCAAGGCCAAATATTTTAGGCATGAATAATATGAGTAGTACTGAGCATTGGAGATCATCACTACTTCAACAGCAATTTCCTAATTTCTTGGTTAATTTGGGACAACCAACTAGTACTACTCATGGGTTGTACCAATTTGACGGTGGAGATCATCAAAATGTTGTCCAGCTCCCGATATCTAAGCCGTTGGATCATTCTGCGGGTAACGGAGTTACTACTACTCAGATGGCTAATGTGAAAATGGAACAGAATCAAGCACTGAATTTGTCAAGGAATTTTTTGGGAAGCCTTGGAAATGATCACCAATACTGGGGTAGTAGTACTACTGGTACTGGTGGGAATGCTTGGACTGATCTTTCTGGTTTCACAACTTCTTCTTCTACCAGCCATCTCTTGTGATATTTGATCATGGTCACTTGTGTTTAATTCATTGAATTACTACAGGTTCCAGAAAGAAATGATCAGGTACTCTCCAAGATATTGGAGTTTCAACCAATCGATCGATCAACCATACCTTTTCATGGGTTTTGAAGGTTCAAGTCCAAAAGTACGTGTGAGATGAAATGGGAAGGCGGAACAGTCTCATCATATTTTGTCAAAAAATCTTAATTAGATGGAATGGTAGGATTTTTAGTTTGAAATCGTTCGTTGTTTTTTATTGCTTTAGTTTTTTGGGAGGGTTTGTGTAGCTTAGCTATATATATATATATATATATATATATATATATATATATATATATATATATGGTTAATCATGTTTCATGGAGACTTGGAGTAGTTTGTATCTGATATTTTTAAGGCCAAATTGTTATCATTCCTCGAATGAATGCTATATGTGTAACAAGTTTCCTTCACTAATTTTATGAAATTGTGTCCACTTAAGTTTTGTTGAATCTTTACTCCTACTCATTAATTAATTTCAGTGAAAGGGTGGACAATTATATCAGAAAATTACATGTCAGCTCCCACACTCTCCGTATGCAACCAAGATTTAGTTCCAACGGTTGTCTAACAAATATGTCACATGTGTTAAAAAAGTGCACTATCAATCTAATAGAAGATTGTCAAGTGATGAATTGGTGATGCGAGAAAATCTCTCATGTAAGTACACACACTTCCAGTGGGAGAAGCAATATTATCATTTCGATTTTAGCCAAAATTGCAAGCAGACTTCTTGAGTCTGTAGTACGTATTATTTGAATTGTTGGTTCGTTGTTGTTTGATATTTGAGGACATGAAAGAGTGTTCACCATATCTCCCCACTATCGACTTGATCAAGTTTCTTTTAATCATAGCGTTAACTGCAGATATTTCGACCACATACTTTTGGGGATCTTTAACTCTTGATAGTCATTGCCCCACGGACGGAGCCACCATAGGCTCAGAGGGGGCGGATGCCCCCACTCATTTTTGTGTGTGAAAAAAAAGGTACTCTTTCGGTTGTTTGTGGCATTAGTATTAACTCTTTCATGCGCTATTTTTATTGTTGAAAGAGCATTTTCGGCCATAAAATTTATGAAGATCGATAGTGAAATTGTATGAGAGACTAATGGAAAAATGATAACATGGTTATTTTTGTAGAGAGAGATGTTTGATGGTATTGGTAATGAGGTTGTTGTGCAACGCTTTCAAAACATAAAAACACATCGATGGATATTGTGATATGTTGTATGAAAAATCTTATGGACTAATATATAAGTGTTCTGTTTAGTATATTCTTGAACTTTTTAATTTGTGATTTTGTTGTTTAAAGATGCCTCCATCCATGCAGATCTCTGACTTCGTCCTTGCATTGCCCTAAAGTTCATGGCCTAGTTTTCAATTTAGACCAAGATATATATATATATATATATATATAGAGAGAGAGAGAGAGAGAGAGAGAGAGAGAGAGAGAGAGGAGGGGGGGGGGACAAAATAGGGTTTAGTGTGATCAGAAGATCGACTTACGTTTGTAGTGTGCTATGACTAAAATGATTGTGCAATTATAAAAAATTGTCCAAAACGAGACTCTTCTGTTGGATGTGATTACAAAGAAACTAAGAGAAACGCCAAAATCCCACTCAAAACCATGCAAAAGAGCAAGCAATGAGTCCTTGGAATTTTGTCGGAAAATACTAACGTAAAGAGGCTCTTGGACCATACTAGCTATCTACTCATATCAGTCAAAAGCATAAGAAAGAACCAAAAGGAAGGAAAAATTTGAGAGCCTCTTTAACATTTGTATGGTTTTAGTTTTTAGTTCCTCCTTTGTAATTAAGCGAAAACAGGGCAAAAACAAAAAAAACAAAAAACAAAAAAACTAGTGATTGTTATTTCTAAGAGATTGGAATCTGGGTCTGGATTTGCTTTTCCACTAACCAAGGTGTAGCAAATAAACCCGTCAACAAAGCTACTCCATGTCTCTGCCTTTCTCACTAGAGTGCAACAGTCAAGATTGTTAATTTGGTCGGTCGTAGACTGCGGTAGGACTGTGATGTTTGAATTTTATATAATAACTCACGTAACTTAATTTTCAAGCTTTAGTTCTGAACTTTTATTGTTCTATATTCATTCAATTGGTTACTTGTTGTCCATTAATTGATAATTATTAGGCTATGCACTCATTCTGGACATTATATATGAAGTTGAGAGATTTGAACTCAAGATTTCAGGTGCAAGAAAGAAAACTCTTAAACAGCTGATGAAACTTATTAGTTATTAATGGAAAGAGTATATTGTAACAACTAACAAGGAAAGTATTATCCTCATCGTTTATAATCGACCGGAGTAAGAAGAAAATGAGAGCAGAAGAAAAAGAAAGAGAGGGAAAAGGACGGGTGCGTGGCTCGTAAATCCATGCTGTTACTAGGTAAAAATGTTGATGGCCACATCACATGTGATGGGCGTGAAGATGTTCTCTCCGTTTCCATGGCAGCTTTCCCTTTTGTGACGTCCTTGTCCGCTCTCTCTCTCTCTCTCTCTCTCTCTCTCTCTCTCTCAGTATGCTTTCTCAGTATGCTTTTTCATCAAATAAGTATTAGTGTTACTATGTTAGATCATCCTTTCAGTCTGCTTTTTCATCAAATTTCTGTGTTATATTAGATTTTGATTTAACTTGGTTTGTTAGTAGGTATATTTTTTTTGTAACATTTAATGTAACTACATGTATAAACCATAAAAAAATGCTACTCTTACTACATTTTTCATACCACATTCGTCCCACCTCTTTAATACAGGTATGATCCATTTGTATTGGTGAGGTCTACCCCTATTAGAGAAGTGATACAAATGTGGTATGAAAATGTGATAAAAGCTATATTTATAATACATAACACACCTATCTAAAGCTCTAAACTTCGTCACACATCTCTCAGCGGAGAAGATAGTATATTACTGTAGGTGTGTTATTATTATAGATGTGAAAAGAAGAAAGAAAGAATGAGGAAAAGAAGTGGTTTAAATCTAATTACCAACTAGCTTTTAAATAATGAAGGAAGTTTGAATCTCCCGTCATCTTTAATAAAAATAAAAATAAAAATTTAATCTCAAACCTACGCTTAGTGAAAATTCAGCTATTCAAATCATGTTTGATAAATAAGTCATTTAGTACAATGGTTGAGTGATATTCCTCTTCACTTGCAAGTGAGATGTCTTAGGTTTGATTCTCATCAAAAACGATTTTGAACTACATTATTGATAGCCCATTGTGAAACTTACCGATTATAAAAAAAAAAAATGATGTTTGATAATAGACAAAAAAAAAAGGATTTTATGGAAGACACGTAAATAACCTTGTTGCTGAGGGAATCCTAAGAGAAGTTTGAGAGCACTTTCTTTCGCCAATTATCACGAGTCAATAGGAAAGACATGAACCAATAAACTCGTATATGCAGGATGACGCTGAGCATAATTATTGTATTAATAAAATTGGTGATTGATTGATTGATATATTATACTCCCTGCAATTTTATCTTGATCATTACATCATCTATAGCATAAAAATTAATAAAATCATATATGGAAGCTTGCGTTACCAAGCACTAAATTTCATTCAAAACTTTATATTTGTTGTTGTTTATTGAATTTTATTGAGCGAGGGACAGAAAGAGAGTCACTTGGGGGAGGAATGTTTGGCTAATATCAAGAAGAGTGGCCGAGGGTAACTCAGCCTTTATAAAAGTAAGAGATATGATGTGTGTGTTGGAGAGAGAGAGAGAGAGAGAGAGAGAGAGAGAGAGAGAGAGAGAGAGAGAGAGAGAGAGAGAGAGAGAGAGAGAGAGAGTGAGTGTGTGTGTGTAGGGTAGGGTAATACTGCTTGTTATGGATCAAGAGGAGGTATTTGTCGAAATCTCTCTAAACTTGTAACTCACTGCTAATTTACCTCAAATTTAGTCCGGGTACCACCCCGCCCCACCCAACCCACAATCTTCAATGGCGGGTCCCAAATTCCCGATTCAAGTAGTGATCTCCCTTTCCTTCGGAGGCAGATTCTCTGTCCTCCCACTTTTTGTGTCCTCTTATTTGTGTGATTACGGTTAAGCTATGTTAATATTTTATATTACTATTCATTTTTATCTTATTATCTTTATAAAAAAATAATATAAAATATTAACATGATTTAACAATTATCGCATAAAATAGGAAAGCACGAAAAATGAAAGGCCAGCGAATCTGCCTCCCGTCCCTTCTCCCTGCAAACCCACCTTCTCGCATGCAGCTCACCTACCGCCACACCGATAGCTCCTTGTTGCCCTCTCTCTCTCTCTCTCTGTACTGTTTTCAAAGCCCACGCTCACAGCCTACAATGGCAGGTCCCAGATGCTAATTCAAAAAGGCCAAAAATGTTTGGTTCAAACTGACGATTTTGCCCCCCCCAAACTAATGGAATCATGGATGAATGTGTGAGATTAAACGGAAGATGGTAATTTAGCCATAAATAAAAGTTTATGGAGGGAGGCGGATAATTGGTTGAAATTAAAGTTCTTAGAAAAATTGGCAGTAGGTTACAAATTCAGGGGGATTTCAACAAATAGGCCTTGGATCAATCCCAGTTTAGGGTCCTACTGTCCTACTTTTGATTTTTTAATTAATTGCATTTTTCAGTTTAATTAATCATAAATTTGATGATTTAGCCATTGCCCATTGGTTTGTAAGGGGAGCATATTTGCTCACCATCATAAACTATGATGCATGCTTACCATACACCTAATCATTTACCACATATCTTTTGGTTATTTTTTATAAAATTAGAAAAATGAACATTTAATAAGTTAACTAAAGTTAGATGAAATGACACCTGACAAATGATTAGGTGTATGGTGAGAATACACCATAGTTATGTTGATAAGCGAAAATGCTCCCGTTTCTAAGAGATCGACCACTTAAACTAGAAGAACCATGAAATCTTGATCAATAATACTTCATTTCAATACAAGTTTTAATTTACTTACGTTGTTAATTATTTGGGTAAATTACATAGTAACCCCTTAGGTTTGAGGTCTATTACAACCCTATACAACATCTTTACACTACTACAAAATGGACTTATTGTGTCATTGGGTGATGTCACTTTAATATAATATAGTGGCGGATAAGACATTTGCGACACCTACTGAACATGACGTTGGATTTTCTGTCGCTTATAAGCGTCATAAACTGTCTATGTCGCTTTTAACCGACGTAAACATTTAATGTCGCTTATAACCGACATCCATTTTAATAATTTTTAAATAATGGTGTCACTTTAAAAAAAATAGTGTCGCTTTTAAGAGACATAAAATATTGGTGTCACTTCTAGCCGACATTAATTATTATTTTTAAATATTTTAAAGCCTACGTCGGTTCTGAGCGACATAAATTTTAGTTTTTTTTAATATTTTGAAACTCAGTGTCGGTTGT